AATGAAATTCAAAAAAAAATTTAAATATTACCAAATATAGACGTGATTGTCATGAAGATTTCACATGTTTAAAAGAAGCCCTTTCTCCACTGAAAGATATTTCTTATAAAGTAGTAGCATGCATTGGAAAGTAAGTAACTTTCGAATATTTTCCTTACCTCTCTCTTTAAAACTAAACCTTTCTCAGTCATGATTATGAAGCTCACGAAAAAATCAAACAAGCCTACATTGAAAACAACATTCCTCTCTTAGAAAACGACGAATTACTCATCGAAATCCCCAGATTGACCAAAATATTGAACAAACCATTTCAAGTCCAAATTGTTGGCTCTTTATTTTACTTTGACCGAAAAATTGCAAAAGAAAAAACTGAAAAATTATTCAAGAATTTCCCAAGAAAATCAAATGAAATTCCAAGAATTTTCCTAATTCACAATCCAGCCATGATTTCATACGTGCCATTGGATGATAGTTGTGAGATAATCTTTTCAGGACATTATCATGGAGGTCAGATTCGAATAGGGCCAAAAAAACGAATGACACTTGTCAAGACAATGTACAAGATTATGAAATTGATTAAGAAGGAAAGGTATGAGAAGGTTTATCCACCAGATCAGGGATTATATGGAAGAGGAAAGTTAAGAGTGTATAGTCATAGAGGAACTGGACATTACGGATTTCCATGTAAGTAATATGATGTCTATATTTGGTTTTATTTGAATTTCGAATAGTGAGAATGGGAATTACTCCTGAATATTCATTGATCAAGTTGTATTTTTAATAGTCTTTACTATACTTTACAATAATCCAGTGTTTCGAATAACATTCTTTTAAAATTATTGGAATAATTGTAAATGATAAAAACTCCTGCCATATTAATCATGTCACCTCCTTGGGGAAAGTGATTTGTGAAATATTGAAAATAACAGATCTCTTATTCGAACATCGTTAAAAAAAAATGAGCAAAATTCACACAAACGCCACTTGTCATCTCTTGACATTATTTTTATTGCTTTGTTGTGTGATGACAGTTCTTGCAGGAAAGCCAAATAACACTCCAGCCAACGATCCATCTTTAATTCAAAGAATCAATTCGAATAACTTTGGATGGAGAGCGAAAGCTCACAAAGTATTCGCAGGAAAAACTTTGGGTGACTTGAAGAAGATATTTAGCATGGATTCGTCTGTGATGGATCGTTTTAAAGATGTATTGGATAAGATTCATTCGCAAAAGAAAGAAAAGGAAGTAGATTCGTCCAAAGTTTCTAATAACAATGGACAATTAGAAACAAAGAACAAGTCTAATGGAAAAACTGCAAGAAAAACAAAAGGAAAGAAGAATTCAGCACCAGTTTCCAATAAGAAAGTTCGCGGCCAAAAAGCAGCATCCAAAACAATGAAAATTTCAGTTTCCACTTCTCCAAAAAAACGAACTTCAAAGCCAACCAAGAAATCAACCTCCAATAAGAGAATTCCCAGAATGAGATCTTCTGGAGGTGCTTCTACTCTTGCTAAAAAAGGTAAATCAACAACCTCTTCCTCTAGCTCTGTATCTTCTCGTGTATTCCCACTTC